CACACACACACACACACACACACACACAAACAGAGCGAGAGACAGACAGACAAAAAAATATAAACCTCCCGGTGAGGGGTTCGAACCCTCGACATTCAGATTAAGAGTCTGACGCTCTACCAGCTGAGCTAACCGGGATGGGTACGATATGTGAGACAAAAATAATTCTCAGATTCACACATAAAATTTTAGCGTACAAATCAGTGCTTTGGAAATACCATGATCTCTTAACCTCTTACACAGATATTTCATCATTGTACGGTAGTATGAGGCAGAGCTGGGCGAAGACTCGAGTCTGGAACCGATTCCCACGATTAGCTACGGATGAAAAGTTCCTTTTTACGTAAACCAGTGGTTACATTTTTTAGAATTTATTTTTGATTGAAAAACGTTGGTGCCTCACATTGTTCCGAAATCAAGGTTGTCCTAAATCCTGAAGATTTTCGGGGCCAAACAGGTAACCACCGGAAGAAATCACATCAATAGAAAGTAAGTAATTGGGATCGGAGCCGATTCCTACGATTCCTAGCTTTCAATATTTGGGAACCTAGCCGCCCAGCACTAGTATGAGGTCAGACTGACTTTAGAATACACTTATGGTCGCATGTAACACTATGCTAGTGCGGTCAAAAATTCGTGTAGCAGCTTATCCTGTGATATCTTTTTTTTTCGGGTGGAATCAGTGCCACCCATACTTTGCACAACTGTTTGTATCAATATTGTGTTTTAATTTTAACTAATTCATATTTTTTCCCTTTCCAATTGAGGCTAAGTTAAAAAAAATAATCTTCATAAATTATTTATATGAAATACTATAAATCTCAGTAACCCGGAAAATGGGATTGTTTTACAGCACTTCCCTCTTCTCACTCATATTATTTTACATACGCATATGGCTTACGTCATGGCTAATCAATAACACTCTTTAGTTGCAAAACTTGCTACAAGAATTATATTTATATAGTGAATTCATTTTTGCACTAAAGGCTAAAGGTTCTCAAAACTTGCGTTCATTTAGTAAGCATATTGTTGAGATTAGAAAAAAAAAGTGACGGACTTGCTTTTAAAAGCGATATTGCCAAAGTTGTAAACCTTTTAAAGTCTGTAGAAACCGCTCATTCGGATTTTTAAAATTAGTATTTATATAAGAATTTTCAAGAATACAGCTAGCAAGTGTTTGCAACAATATTTATTTGCTTAGACAAATTGATACAAAATATTGTTCAAAAGTTGGAGAACCAGTGTGCGATAGTTGAGGAGATATTTGACAATAAGATGCGCCACGAATTTTTGGAAGCACTTTTAAATGACAAATATACGTGAGCACAAACGCTTATTATGCTTGTGTAACTGCTAGTGTGTTCACATGTGTGTGTGTGTGTGTGTGTGTGT